TTAATGTTATTAAATTTACCCGTTTTTTAAATTTGCCAAGCTTGGTTTTTGATTTAGAGTAATCATAATACTGTTCTTGATATGGATATTCGTCACCGGACACATTATACACTTCAGTATTAGGGTCAATATTAAGTGATTCTACTAAATGGCTAAAATTAAAATCTTGTCTATGAATATACTTTATATATTTTTTTTACAAATGAAAAATCCATTAAATTTTCCCAATTATACATTGTATAAGATACGAATTTGCAAATCCTTTGATTTTCTTGAAAACATGTAGTGTTGCAATTTGTATCCAAGATTTGAATGTCCTTTATACCCCGAAAATTACTTTCTGTTTCATCTTCACTAAAACAGAATATAAATCTGTTTTCTTTAAAATTATTGTTGGGAAGCATAAAATGTGATAAAAGATTATATAGTTCGGCATATGGTTGTGCTATGATTGGTGTAACTCCTGTGAAATATAGGATAGGTGGAATTATTAAAGTTCTGTTTAAGAACCATGCCAAGAATATTGCATTTTCTAATTCAATTCTCTGATTATTGAAACCATCATGGGGAAGGTAGGCTAAAAATTTTTCTTCATGTCTTGCTAGATGTTCATATTTATTTGAATTTGGGATATTAGATTTATTTGAAATTGAGATATTAAATTCATTTGAGTTTGGAATATTAAATTTAGTTGAATTTTGAATAAATTCAGTTAAATTTGAGATTTGCACATGTTGACGATCGTAATTTGAAAACAAAGTTGTAAATATAAAAATATCCACAGATAAAGCTAGAAAAAACAATTTTTATATAAATGTGAGCCATTATAAGAGTGAATTTGTCGTCTACTTGTAAACAACAAATTTAAAAAACAGTTTATATAAGTAAAACCCTAATGTGACTCATGAATCAATTGTTTAGGACTGCATTTAGAGGGGTTCGCTTATTCATCATTTATAATTTTGACTTGTGTTGTATGTGTATGTATATATTAGTTAACCCTTTATACTTTTGGCACGTTAACTCTTTATAATTTTAACTTGGTAATCCTTGCTGTATTTGTTGTATATGTATGCATTAACATGATTTCTTTTTACAGAGAAACCTCTCTAAATGCACCCCCTCGGGACCATAGTAAAAAAATTCAAAAATGTGCATTTAGAGACGGTGTGCATTTATAGAGAGCAAAATATAT